TTACAAATTTTCTTTTGTTTATGAAATTGTTCAAAAACTCGAAAATTATGAACAAACATTTGAGCAGTTGAGCAATGAACGAGTTTCGAGCGAGCATCGAGCTACTCGCATTGCTCGATACCCGGGTATCTAGAGCTCTAAAATTAACCCTACAAAAATAGCGAAAAATATATCGCCGCCGAACTCTATCTGCAAAATGACAATGGGTCGTGGAAAAAAACCTAATGTTAGTGTTTGGCCGAGCTTCTCCTCCGATTTGTGGCGTGCGCCACAGCGGAGGGACCTACAGTTTGACTCCGACTCCGAACGGCGATTATATTTTTATGAGCTGTTTTTCATGGCAGAAATACACTCGGAGGTTTGCCATTGCCTGCCGAGGGATGACCGCTGTTAAGAAAAAAACCCTTTTTTCTATATTTTTTTGCGATGTTGCTTTGACCAGGGCCTGAACCCAGGCGTTGCAGAGTGGAAGTGCGCACTTACCACTACACCACAGCGGCCGAAACCTAAGCAAATGCTTTTTCTTTAAACTTCAGAGCTTTTACTCAATTTGTTCAAACAAATTGAAGTGAAAGGTATGCAATTTCGAGAAAAAGCATTTGCTTAGTTTTTTATGCATAGGGCTTAATATTACCGTTAGGAAGCAAAAGGTCAGTATGTATAAATAAAAGCTTTATCAGGGGAACGTGTTATATTTTCAAATAGCAAATAAATAAAAAATACATCGTAATGAAATGTTACAGCGAATATATGTATGTAGCGCAAACCCGTTTATTGCATGTGATCTGATGCCGGATTCAATTTATAGGTCTGTGCAATCAAAGAATACTAATTGCGTCAAATTTAGTGAATCCATTACAGTTATGTTTGTTAACATTTGAACATGTGAAAACTAGGCAGATGCTTTATATAAGCAAACTAAGAGCATTCTGAGTAAAATCTTTTCAAAAATGTAAAAAGGCTAGACTGTTTTTTATGACCTCATACTAAGTAACGATATCGGCATATGAATTAAAAGAAGCTAAATCTAAGCATGTATTAAAATACATACATATATTTAAAAATCCGCTATATGGCTAAAGAAACCAGAGAATATTAAAACGTTCATTTTATCATTCCCAGCTGGTACGCATAATACTTTTATCTATATTACACGCGATTAGATAGTAAAAAGTTAGTTTGTATATTAAAATGTGATAAGTTTTTAATCATGTTGATAAATCTACACATGTTTAATGTACAAAACTGCTAGTGATCAATGCAATTATTTAAGATGATCACTAAATAGATTTATATTCCATTTTGTTTTAGTTATGTTTGAAAAATCTCAATTTGGGTAGAGCTTTGTTAAATGTATGTATGTACATTTTCTTTTTGATATTATAAAGACTTTCATTTTCGTGCAACGCATGTTTAACTACAAAAAACCAAGCTCATAATTACTTGGTTTGTTCATATGGCTTGTAGTAAGAGCTGTATTGGTTGCTGTTGTTAATTTTAGCTTTTTGATTTCGAGATCATTAGAATGTGCTTTACCTCTACGTAGAAATCAACGCATAAACCATGCTGTGAAATATACAAGAATAAAATGGCTTATAACATGTATATGTAGGCTACATTACATCATCGTACTTACCCATAAATATAGTAGAAGAAAGATATTAGGTAGATAGCCAATTTGATCCAGCCTTCACGCATGTTCTTAGTTAAGTTACCTGTACTCAGTACCGTTGTTGGATCGTATAGTCCTGCGCCTGTCATGACGGGGCGATTCTTGTAGCTATAGTGATTAAAAAAAATATTATCAATATTTATGATATATTTTTAATGTGCCATTTGATTTTTTATGCATGAGAACAGTGACGCGATGATTCATGCAAAAATTTTTGCTTGGCATTCGCTTACATTTTTGATTAACTGCAAAAAACCAATGCGCTTAACAATTAAAAAAAAAAAAACAATTTTCGCTTCCATAAGTGAAAACACATGTGCTGCTAATGTAGAAATCTGTACGTGCATACATTTGTAGTACCACTTACCGCCACATGTGGTATGCGATTAAAGGTATATTAATACACAACGAGAACCATTCGCCACACAGTAGGAACAATAGATTGAGGAAAATATGGAGCAAATATTCCGGCAACACCAACTGAAAATAGAATTAGCATGAATTGCATTATTTTTACTTTTTATTGGTCGAGTTCAGAGACATTTCCTCCAGCTTGACGATTGTAATTTATCTTATATACATATACAGTCATTAACTTACAGGATTCAGGCTGTTACATTGATCGATTGGATTCTTATAGTCCGTTTTTAGCTCATCAAAAGCGATCACATGAAATATTGCAAAAAATATTAAAAACGCATCGCCTATCAAAGCGACGATGTAGGTGAAGGCTGTGAAGTTGAAAGCCATTTTTAAGCGATTACTGTACCAGGTGCGCGACTGGCTCAACCTTTATTCCACGCTGTGACGCTAAATTAATTTGTTGATCTTGGTTAACAAGGCAAACTTTAGATTGATGCAAGAAATAGCAATAAATTGTACCCCAAGATGATTTTTCCACAAGAGTCCAAAATACGAGGGTTTAGCAGATGACACCTTTTTTAGCGTTGCCAGACAACCTTTAAAAAAGTATGATATCAGTGATTTGCACAAAGGAGAAAAACTTAAAAAAATCCGTTTAAGAAAGATTTAATAAGTTTATAAGGCTTTACATATGTACATGTGTACATACATATCCGCATATATGCAATATGAAAAAAAACCAATAACGAAAAATTAACAGTACATAAGTTGAATTGTTCTACGACTCATTGCATGACTGGTAACACTGCAACGTTGTTGACGTGTTTGTAATCGCTCTGCGGAAAATTTTTAAAAAACAGCCGAATTGTTGGGATTTTTACCAGCGTTAGAGCCAGTGACTTAAATAGCGAAGTGCTAATAAACTGTGCTATTTGCAAGCACAAAAATTTGTTTCAATTTGATTAAACAAACAAATAAATATAGCTAGAGACATAAAAGTGCAGTGAGGTGACAAAAACAATAAGGCGCGAAAATGGATAAATGCCATAAGTGCAAGAATCCAATTCGCGGTGACAGCGGAATCCGCTGTGATGGTGTGTGTGGTAAAGTGTGGCACTGGGCAAAAAAATGCTCTGAATTGGATGAGTACAGTGCGAATGTACTCAAAGAAAACAACTTTGTGCGCTTTATGTGTAACCAATGTCACACATACATGCATAATATCGATGAGGTGCTCCGAAATATGAACTTAACAATAGAGAAAAATAGTCAAAAGATCCAAGAGTGTAATGATGACTTCCAGGAGTCGCAGAAAATGCAAGTGAAAGAGCTTAAACTTCTCTTGCAATCAATAGAGAAAAAATTTGGGGAACGCATTGATGCAATGCAAAGAGTACAAAAAACCTGTGAGGCGAGTATTCTCGAAGTGAACCAAATTAAGTCAATAGCTGACGGCGTAAAAAAGCAAAGCCATGATCTTTGCGAAGCCATAGTGCGCAATGAAAATGAGAACAAAAAAATTTGTGAAGAGATAAAGAAATCGGTGACTGCTGACGCGTTAGCAGGTCAGCGGGCGAAAGCCACTTACGCGGATCTCTTTAAAGGTAATACTGCGAAAGATAATAGGCCGCCGAAAGTAAATAAAGAGAAGCCATTAGTTCTACAACCAAAAGAGAAGCAGGAAGTGGGAAAAACAAAAGAAGATTTGAACAAAAATGTTGACCCCTCGGGCTTGAAAATTAATAGTGTACAGGGGAGGAAAAGTGGGGCTGTAGTAATACAAACAGAAAATGAGGCTGAGCGTGAAAAAATCAAAAAGGCAATAGAGAATAAAATGAGTGATAGATATGAAATAAAAATCCCAAACGTAGCCAAGCCAAGGTTCATGGTATATAGAATGAGCTTTAAACATGAGGATGAGCAGCTCAGGGATATGATAAAAAAACAGAATGAATGCTTCAAAAATGGTAATTTCAAAATTTTGAAATGTTTTGAAACAAAAAGAGGAAATGCAAAACATTATAATGCGTTAGTAGAAACAGATGTAGATGCGTTTGCATCCGTGCTGGCAAGCGAAAAAATAAACATAGGTTGGGAAAAATGTAGAGTCAAAGATGGAATGGATGTTACTTTCTGTTTCAAATGCAAGGGATTTAACCACATAGCTGCGAAATGTAAAGCCAATGAGGTATGTTTCAAGTGCCTAGATAACCACAAAACTGTGGAATGTTCTAAGGAAACATTAAACAAATGCATAAACTGCATTCGTGCTAATAAAAAATTTAACTTAGGGCTTGATGAAAATCATATGACATTTAACCGACAGTGTCCTGTATACCAGAAAAAGCTCGAGCATAAAAGAAATACTGTAAATTACTAACAATTACAGCAAGTTTGTGGGGACCCTAGCGTTGAGTTTACGTCTCACCCAGGTGTAAAGAAAGCGCTACCCAAATATTTGCAATGCGTATATCTCAATATACAGAGTTTAGTGGCTAATAAAGTTGAGCTAGAAATACTTATAGATTTTACCGACCCGGATCTACTTTTGTGTTCCGAAACATGCCTAACTGATGACATAGAGGATACGGAAATAATGTTCCCGGCGTATCAGATGATACGCTGCGACTCACACAGTAGACACACAGGGGGAGTGATAATACTCGTTCGAAACACGCTCGGTTTTAAAACAATAACTAACAAGGCTTTAGACAAAAATGTTTGGTGTATAGTTATTCAACTCACACACTGTGATACCAGGTGGCAGCTCGGGGTGGTTTATCACTCCCCAAGCTCAAGTGATGCGGAATTTGTTACATATATGGAGGATATCCTAGCAGAAATCTCAGAAAATTCTGTGAACACTGTTGTCATTGGCGATTTTAACATAAACATGAACGTAGTATCAACCTACAGCAGAAAACTCAATGATGTTTTCTTGCAACAAGCCATGCAACAGCTGATAAATTTTAATACGAGGGTGACGGAACATTCGGAAACACGTATTGACTTGTTGTATTCCAATGATAACCGAGTTATATGCCAAAAGGTCGAGGATCATAGAATATCTGACCACGAAACAATAATGTTTCGACTAAATGTCAATAAACTTAACCCACTTGCTAAGGAGGCAGAAGTAATATCCTGGGAGAGATATAACCCTGAGAACTTAACAAGTTTACTAAGGCAGTGCGATTTCTCAAACTTAAATTTTTTCGATGCTGACGGTATGGTGGAGTATATTACTCACTGCATTATGTGGGCCATGAGGCAGTTGACTTACTCAAAAATAACTCGCATTAGGCAGAGGAACAAATGGTATGATAGGCAATTGACAGAGATGAACAAGTATAAATCTAAATCCCATGAGAAAGCAGTGTTGTCAGGGTACTGGGGTGAATATAATTTAGTGAGAAGCAGATATAAGAAAATGGTAAGGTGTAAAAAAATTAAATACTTAGAGCATAAGGTGGAAATAAATAAGGGTGACAGCCGACTCATGTGGAAATACTTAAAGGAGGTAGTCAATAACACGGAGGTCAAAGAAAATATTGGGGAAGTGATAATAAATAACACCAACTACGTAGACAGCTTTGAAATTGCGGAAAACCTAAATAATTTTTTCGTGGACAGCATTTTGGAAATACATACCAATATAGAGTGTGTAAACTATGATTCCTTCGAGCAACGAGCTCCCACAAGTACGCTAAAATTTGAAGAGGTCTCAACGGAAGACATTCTTCAAATTACCAAAAAATTTAAGCGGAAAATTGGGGGAAACAACCTACTTTCTGAAGGTGTTATTAAGGACTCTGCTGATTATATGGGATATTTCTATGCCCTACTTATAAATAAGAGTCTCCAGACAGGATCAGTACCGGAAGAATGGAAAATTTCATCAATAGTGCCCGTCAAGAAAGTTAGAAAAACGGTTAAAGCTGAGGAGCTTAGGCCCATCAATACTCTCCCTAGCTTGGAAAAAATGCTAGAAACCGTTGTGAAAAACCAGCTACAGTACTATGTGGAATCCAATAAAATACTCATAAAAGAACAATCTGGATTCAGAGCCAAACATTCCTGTGAGACTGCGCTGAATCTGGTGCTTTCTCAATGGAAAGAAGATCTGAACAGACACCTTAATGTAGTGGCAGTGTTTATTGATCTTAAAAGAGCATTTGAAACCGTTGATAGGGTCCGAATGTTGGATAAACTAAAATACATTGGTATAAAAAACACTGAGCTTGACTGGTTTAGAAGCTTTCTGTGTAATCGTAGGCAACAAACAATAGTTAACTCAAAGAGGTCTAGTAAGATAGCCGTAGACATCGGATTACCACAGGGCTCAGTTTTGGCACCCCTACTCTTTAATATATATATAAACGATATTAAAAGTTCTCTCAAACATTGTAAAATAAAACTCTTTGCGGATGATGCCTTGTTAACGATCAGTGATAGGGAACTACCAAATGCGATTGTCAAAATGCAAGAAGATCTTAATTCTTTGTATCAATGGCTGTGTTCAAATAAACTCAAACTGAATGTGAAAAAGACTAACTTTATGGTATTTTCCAGAGCGGCAAATGCTGACTCCATAAGCCGTGAATTAAAAATCAAAGATGAAAATATCGAAGAGGTGAAAATTGTCAAGTACCTAGGAATATACATAGACAACAAACTAAAGTTTGATGAGCACGTTGAGTATACAGTCAACAAGATTGCTAAAAAAATTGGCCTTATAAAGAGATCGTGTAAGTACTTGGGAAGAAGATATAAAACGTTGGTGTACAGGTCAATAGTAGAACCGCACTTTATATACTGCCCCACGATTTTCTTCCTAGCGGGGGACTCCCATGTAGATAAGCTGCAAAAAATGCAAAACCGAGCGATGAGATTCATCCTCAACAAACCGTATGACGCACCAACAAGATGTATGCTTGAAACCTTGAATTGGTTAAGCGTGAAGCAACAAGTTTTTTACCACGCTATGAAATTTGTGTACAATATTAAGAAGGGCAACCTGCCGGATTATCTTAGCGATAATCTCCGATATATAAATGAGACGCATACATATTTGTTGAGAGAGAATAACAGCTTCAGACTCCCGAAGTACAGAACAGAAGTGGACAAAAAAAATATTTTCTATAAAGGCTTAAAGTGCTTCAATGAATTACCAGAGGCTATAAAAAATTGT